TATTATAAGATACTACCTTACCTTATATAAAATATACATATATAAAATTACATATATATACATTGAAATCCAATTATATCCAGGGCATGTGAGTGAATTCTTAAGTTCCCTGAGCCTTGGACCACTTTGCAAAGAGAAACCCGAACTTCCTAATCTGTCCTTGCTATATGTAGTATCAGTTCTCCAGGGACTTTTGAGAACCTCCGGATGTGTCTTGGCCAAAAATATACCTGAAGAATGGATACTTCATCCAATATATGAAGTGTTGATAAACATATAAAACTATGCTCAATATCATTAGTCATGGGAAAATGCAAATTAAAACCGCAATGTGATATCCCTGTGCATCTACCAGAATGACTACAATTAAAAAGACAGATAATACCAAATATTGGAGAGGATTTAGAGGAACTAGAACTCTTATACATTGCTGGAGAAGAGGGAGTAGAAATGGGAGTCCAAAATGGCACAGCCAGTTTAGAAAACGGTTTGACAGCTTCTTATAAACTTAAGCATACACTTTTTCTCCAATCAACTCCTAAGTCTTTATGCAGGAAAAACATATACGACCTCAGATAGACCTGCATGTGGTTGTTTACAATACCTTTATTCATAATAGCCCCCAAATGGAAACAACACAAATGTGCATCAAATGTGAATGGACAAATTGTGATATAGCCATCATTCTACTCATCAACATAAAGGAACCAACTATGAATGCGTGCAATCAGACAGAGGATTCTCAAATGGATTAAGCTAAGTGAAAGAAGCTAGACACAAAAGGCTATATACTGCAAGGCTATAGCAGCCACGACGGCTTGGTACTGTACAAAAGAGGAGAGACACAGACTAATGAAATGGAATAGAGAACCCAGACACAAAACCATGTATGAACAACCAACTGATCTTCAACAAAGCAAACAAGAATATACACTGGGGAAAGGAAGCCCTCCTCCATAAATGGTGCTGGGAAAACTGGATACCCACAGGCAGATGAATAAAACAGGACCCCTAACTCTCACCATATACAAAAATTAATTCAATATGGATAATAGACTTAAGTGTAAGGCATAACAATGTAAATGTAAACCATACATTCTAGAAGAAAATGTAGGAAAAACTCTTCTAGACATTGGCCTACCCAAAGAATCTGTGACTAAAATCCTAAAGGGAAATGCAGTAGCAATAAAAATAAATAAATGGGACTTGATTAAATCAAAAAGCTTCTGCAAAGTGAAGAAAATATTCAACAGAGTAAATAAGCAACTTACAAAATGGGAGAAAATATTTGTAAACTATATGTCCAATAAAGGGCCAATATCCAGAATCTACAAACTTAAACAAATCAGCAAACAGCAAACAAACAGCCCCATTAAAAAGTGGGTAAAATACATAAACAGAAGTTTTGCAAAAGAAGATAAACAAATGGCCAATAAACATATGAAGAACTGTTCAAAATTACTAATCATCAGGGAAATGCAATTTAAAGCCACAATAAGGGCTCAGTGCCCATAAGCACAGTGGTTACGGTGCCAGCCATATACACCAAAGTTGGTGGGTTCAAACCAGGCCTGGGCCAGCTATACAACAATGACAACTGCAAATAGCCAGGCATTGTGGCAGGCGCCTGTAGTCCCAGCTACTTGGGGGGCTGAGGCAAGAGAATCACTTAAACCCAACAGTTGGAGGTTGCTGTGAGCTATGACTCGATGGCATTCTATGGACTCTGTCTCAAAAATAAAAACCAAACCTACAATAAGATACTACCTTACCTCTGTCAGAATGGCAGAACGGCCATTATTAAGAAGTCAAAAAACAATTGATTCTGGTGTGGATGCAGAGAGAAAGGAATACTTATTTATACACTGTTAGTAGGACTGCAAATTAGTACAACCTCTTTGGAGAATACTATGGAGATTCCTCAAAGAAATAAATGTAGACTTACCATTTGACCCAGCAATCCCACTACTGGCTATCTTCCCAAAAGAAGTCATTTTTATCAAAATGACACCTATACTTGAATGTTTATTGCAGCATAATTCACAATTGCAAAGATGTGGAATCTACCTAAGTGTCCATCAATTCATAAATGGATTAGGACAATGTAGCATATGTATCCCATGCATTACTATGTAGCCATTAAAAGGAATGAAATAATGCCTTTTGCGGCAACTTGGATGGAGCTGCAGACCATTTTCCCTAAGTGAAGTATCTCAGGAATGGAGAAACAAATACTACATGTACTCTCTAATAATTGGGAGCTAATTCATGAGCAGAAATGAGCACAAAGAGATGTAAAGGGGGAGGAGGGATGAAGGGAGGGGTAACAACTTACCTATTGGGTACAATGAACACTAACTCAGGTTTTAGGCACACTAAAAGCCCCAACTTAAGCATCATAAAAGATATCCATGTAACAAAAAAATTTATACCCCCTTGATATTTTGAAATTTTAAAAAGGCTACATTGGGCTGGTCACTGTGGCACACGCCAATAATCCTAGCACTCTGGGAGGTTGACACAGGTGGATTGCCTGAGTTCAGGAGTTTGAGACCAGATTGAGCAAGAGTGAGACCCTGTCTCTACAGGCGCCTGTAGTCCTGGTTACTTAGGAGGCTGAGGCAAGAGGATTGCTTTAGCATGAGTTTGAGGTTGCTGTGAGCTATGACACTACAGCACTCCAAAGTGAGATTCTGTCTTAAATAATAATAAAATAAAATAAAATAAATAATGATAAAATAAATAATAATAAAATAAAATTAAAAGGCTATATACTGTAGGATTATATATATGTGACATTCTAGAAAAGGTAAAGCTATAGTGATAGAAATCAGATCAGTAGATGTCAGACGCTGGAGGTTGAGAGAGAAACAACTGTAAAGGGGCACAGAGGAATTTTTTGGAATGAGGAACTAGGTCTATATCTTGCTTGTGGTGGTGGATACATGATTAAAGACATTTGCTAAAACTTATCAAATTGGGCCTGTGCGGCCGCCGGCTTACAGGCTTACTCACTCGCTCCCGGTCCTGTGGGACTGCACTCACTGGTGATGGCAAATTCAGCTATCAAAATTGACTCCAGGAGAGAGAATCTAACAGACGAATAATAGTGGAAGAAATTGGGAAAGTTATCAAAAAGCTGTCCTGCAAAAGACCAAGTCCAGGTGGTGTTACACTTAAAAAAAAATTCTTCATGAAGAAGAAAGATCTTAAGCAACATGATGGATTCTGAAGCTCATGAAAAGAGGCCACCAATCCTAACATCTTCAAAAGGAGATGTATCACCTCACCTTACAAATGTTAGTGAAATGAAGCATTACTCGTGTGGCTCCTGTGCAGCTTTCAACATTTCCTATTCAGAAGGTTCTTTTTAGGCAACAGTTATATGGCATCAAAACCCGGGATGCAATACTTCAGTTGAGGAGGGATGGATTTCGAAATTTGTATCGAGGAATCCTTCCCCCGTTAATGCAGAAAACAACTACTCTGGCACTTATGTTTGGTCTCTATGAAGACTTATCCTGCCTTCTCCTCAAGCATGCCAGTGCTCCAGAGTTTGCAACCCGCAGTGTGGCAGCAGTACTGGCAGGAACTACAGAGGCAATATTCACTCCACTGGAAAGAGTTCAGACATTGCTTCAAGACCACAAGCATCATGACAAATTTACAAACACTTACCAGGCTTTCAAGGCACTGAAATGCCATGGAATTGGAGAGTATTATCGAGGCTTGGTGCCCATTCTTTTCCGCAATGGACTCAGCAATGTCTTCTTTTTTGGCCTTCGGGGTCCCATTAAGGAGCATCTGCCTACTGCAACAACTCACAGTGCTCATTTGGTCAACGATTTTATCTGTGGAGGTCTTCTGGGTGCCATGTTGGGATTTTTGTTTTTTCCAATTAATGTTGTAAAAACGCGCATGCAATCTCAGATTGGTGGGGAATTTCAGTCTTTCCCCAAGGTTTTCAAAAAGATCTGGCTAGAGCGGGACAGGAAACTGACAAATCTTTTCAGAGGTGCCCATCTGAATTACCACCGATCCCTCATCTCGTGGGGCATAATCAATGCAACTTACGAGTTCTTGTTAAAGGTTATATGAAAATGTCAATTAAGTGCCATTTATCAACTGAATACCTAAGAAGAATGCAGTTTGGCCTCGTTCTTAATCGGCCAACTATAAGTTGGCGTCTTAAGTCCAGGCCACAGTGAGTTATGGGCAAAGTTGTTTTCCTTAAGCATCAACAAAAACAGAATGAAGGGTTTCAATAGGGAAGTTTAGGGGTTTTTTGTTTTTGTTTGTTTTTAAATCATTGTCTAAGAACAGTAGGTTGATTGCCTGCTAAATAGCTGTCCATCTGATGGCCTTGACAGGGACCCTAATAGCCAAAACAGTCTTTAACCTTCTGAAATGTAAGTGTCCTGGACCAGCAAGAAAAAAGGCCTTAAGGCTGTGAGACTTCTCGGGCTCATTTTATTACTCCCATTTTTTGCTCTGCTCTCGACATGTAGAAAGGATAGTCTTCATCAAATTCAAGCATGTGACACAGGGACAGAACAGAAGAAAGACAATTTGCTTTTGAAGACCAAACTGCAAATACATTACCAGGGATGGTTTTGTGTTGTCCTATAGACTTCTCAAATTGGACAAAAAATTGAACAGAACTTGTAACCCACAACATTGAACTTCAAGTGAAAATGTGTTAAGAAATTCTAACTATTGTTTTTACTTTTGACGTGAATTACTGTGGTAATTTGGAAAAGACAAACATGATTGAATATCTGAAAAGCTTAGAAGTGGCCTTTCTGTTACATATGTGGCACAAACAGCTCCTGAGTGCAAGACACTTCCTGTCTTGTGTCATTTTGTCTGATGCCAACAGAAATGTTATATAGACACTGCTTAACACACTGGGAGTGGTGTGAGCCCTCAGGACTGCACCAGAATAAACACAACCTTACATGGAGGAAAACTTGTCTTATTTCATTTGTGGTTGGTGATGAAGTCGATGTTTTGTCTAAATAATTGATACTCATCTTATGGTTGGCGCTATAATCACCTGCTATATATCGTGAACTGTGCAGTGAAACAGAATTGTGTATATATAGTTACCTATGAATACCTGAAATTCCCAAGCTCACTTCCCATGGTAATAGTTGGTATAAGGCTATGCAAACATGTAGGGAATGATGTTAGTAGATGGGATCCATGAAGTGGGATCTAGAGGGCTTCCCTGAGTGAACCCAATCGTGTTGAACTAAAATGTATGATAGAGAGAGAGGCATTAAATGAAGGGTAGAGAGATTAGTGTGAAGAAAGAGCATTCGGACAGGGTTCCTTTTAAAATTAAAACATTTCTGTTTTCAGATTACAAAAACATTTGCTTTCTCATGAGTAAATAAATGCATATCAAAGACTTGAACAGGCATTCTCTCTAAATTTGAGTATTTTTAGTGCTTTTTGCTTAATATTAAATATTTGTTGCCTAATGGCTTCCAGATTATGTGGGAGTCTGTACATGTTTCCTCTTAAAAGTTTCATTTTTAAAAGTGGTTAGCACACAAAAGCTATTTTTGTTTGATATTTTGAGTTTTGTGTCTGTATGAATTAAATCTGTTAAATGTTTCAGCGTTAACTACTTTTTTCGGTAATAGTTTGGAATAAAGTTTGTTTTTTAAACCCCCCTCAAAAAAAACTTATCAAATTGTACAATTAAAACATTTATTATATGTAAACTATTCATCAGTAAAGCTGGCTTTTAAAGAAAACTAGCTGCAGAGCATTTTTCCATATATATATATATATGTGTGTGTGTGTGTGTATTAAACACAAAGTGTCCATAAAGCTCATGTGCAATTTAAAATAGTTGTCTATATATATGAATAGCTCAAACACAGAACACCTTTGCAAGGATAAAGGCTCTCAGATTTGGGGTCAAATTGTATCATTTTATGATTTATTCTACATATTAGACTCTGGAGGGTTCCTCCTCCTCCCAATTCCCGACTCTCACTGGCACCCTTTCAATTGATAGATGCTTTTTACATCTTTCCCATCTTTAATGCAGAGCCACAGGATGTTATGAGCACTGCAGAGTCCAAATTGGGCTGGCTGTCTTTTAAGTTTGTCTTAGTCCATTCTAGCTGCTATAACAAAACATCTTAGACTGAGTGAATTATGATAGAAATACAAAGGGTGCAAAAAAACCCAAACAAACAAACTATATACACATTTTAAGAAAGGAAAAAAATGTACTAAAATTATAATGCCCAACATATGCCAATAATGTTATCTTGAATAGTGTATCTCATATCTTTTGTAATTGCAGAAGTCAAATGTGACTTGAGTGTTACAAGTCCAAGATCAAGACTCTAGCATGTTCTGTCTCCGGTGAGGGCTTGCTCTCTGCTTCAAAGATGGCACCTTCTTGTCAAATCCTCACATGACAGAAGAGATAGAAGGCTCCCGGAAACCACTAAGGCAGTATTTTTTAACCTTTTTTTTTAATCTCACAGCACACTTGACCCTATAGTTAAACTTCGGTGGCACACTTAAATTATGTTGATCAAAAAAGAAAAAGAGTTAAAAAAAAAGAAAGAGAATATACTTACTGTGCTTTGAGCTTGTTTTGAGAATAATTCAATTAATGATCTTTAAAATTTTTCTCAGCACACTGATTAAAAGTCACTACTCTAAGGGTACTAATACCATTCATGAGAGTGGAGCCATTCACTCTAATCACCTCCCAAAGCCCCCAACTCTCAATACCACCACAATAGGGATTATATTTCAACAAGAATTTTGGAAGGACACAAATGTTCAAAGGTCTGCTAAATCCACTACAAAGTTTGGAGTAGACTGGAGGAGAGAAAAGAGAGAAAGAGAAGTGAAATAGAGTAGAGGGGATGCAAAGAAATTCCACAGTGAGACATACTCAGGGACAGTCAGGGACCAGATGTAAGACATGAAAGAGAACAGCGTTCATAGAACGCCCTTACTGAAAAACCTTGAACAATTCCCCATTTCCTTTGGGGAAGAGCCCCAACTCCTGAGCTTGAGATATCAAATTTTCAAGGTCTACTCCAATCTATCTTTTCATTGCCTACTGCATCTTTTTGCAGAATCAAAAGCTCTCTAAGCACAGGCTTATCCGTATTCCACAAAAGTTTGTTATTTAACACCAGGTATTCAATGTATTTTGGTTGACTGTCCATTTACCTACTGATAGATACTTGTATTCTTTCCATTTGGAGCTATTGCAAACAAAGCTGCTATGAACATTCCTATGCAGGTCTTTGTGTCTACACATGCTTTCATTTCTCTTGGGCAAATACCTGGGAGTAGAAAATTGCTGGGTTATGTGGTAGGTGGGTACATCCATAAAATTCTGTTCAGTCATAAAAAGACATGAACTATTAATACATGTAACAGCATGGATGAACATAATTTTGCTGAGTGAAGGAAGCCAGACTCCCCCCAAAGACCGTACATACTGTGTGAGACCATACATTAAAATGTTATGTAAGACTCCAGATCAAACGAATCTGTAGTAACATAAAACAGAAAGTGGTCCAGGGGGCAAGGGACATGAGGTAAGAATTACAAAGTGTCACAAGAAAAATTTGGGGGATGATGGGTATGCTCATTATTTTATTGCAGTGATGGTTTCACAGCTACAAATATATCAGAATTTATCAAGTTGTACATTTTAATCAAGTGCAGTTACTGTATGTGAATTATACTTCAAAAAAGCTGTAAATAGGAATACAAAGAGCAGGTTCTGAGTAAACACATATATAATAAAGTAGAAAAGTGTTCAAGGAATGCAAGGCAGGTGTTCAATAGATATTGGTGAAATTAAGATACAGATGAAAAAGGTGAATAAAGATTAGGTGTTCCACAATTTTAGGATGAATAAATAAAGTTGACAAATATTTAACGAATGTGTCACCTAGGCTCTGGGACTAGATTAGGGAATCAAACAAAAATCCCTTTGTTCTAGTGTGCAGACAATGAAAACACAAGTAAACACATCTAGTGTGCTAGACAGCTGCTAAGGAGAAAGAAACAAGGCTCAGAAGGGTGACAAGGAATGTCAGGAAAAGAGGTTGACGTTTTAGAGGGTGTAGCCACCCTCCTTGAAAGCGTGATGCTAAAGAAAAGTCCTGAAACACATGAACGGACAAGGCGGATATCTAGGAGAATACAAAATAACGCTCCCAATGTTAAAGAAAACAATGTGCAAGAGTTGAAGGAACAGTCGCGACCGGGATACCAAGGAGAGCGAAAGACTGGGGCGGAGCCGCCCACGCCCCCTGCCGGCCCGCGAGTACCTGCATTGCCCACCAGGAGGCGCTCCTGCACCCGCCCCGCAGTCATCTTCCGCCTCCCGCCCGTGCGTGGGCACGCGCAGAAACCGCTAGGAAGTTAGGCAGCGTCGGTTTCCTTTCCCACGCGCGGACGCCGGCGTGGGCCGACGCGGCCGGAGCGCCCGCGCACGCGCAAGGCCAAGGCCGGGCTGCCCTCGGGGCGGGGCGGGACGAAACGGGGCGGGACAGAGCAGGGCGGGGCGGGGGCTTGAGGTGATTCCCGAGCCGCGGGGGCGGCTCTGGCGGTGCGGGGAAACCGAAAGTGGGCGGCGGCCGCGGCCGGAGCCCTGGCGGAGACAGCGGCGGCAGCTGGGCCCAGAGCCGCGGGGACTGGCCGTGGGCCCCCGGAACGAGGTGAGCTCAGGTCCTGCCGGCTCCAGGCGCGACAGGTGCCGGGCGACGTCGGACGAGGTTTCGGGCGGGCGAGGCGCACCTTGTTCACCCGCGGGACAGCGGCCAGGGCGCGGCTCCCACAGGCGCCGGGCCTCTTCTCTGCAGCCGCAGGGAATGCCCGGGTCCGACTTCTGGAAACCCGGCTCGGCGCCGGGGGAGTTGGAGTTCCAGAGCGTTGTGTTTTAAATCTTTGATGGGACCCCTCCCCCGGCCGCTCGGGGCAGGGCTGGGCGTTCACCCGGGCGTCGGATAGACCCTCCTGCCACCTCAGAAGCTCATTGCCGAGGGGGAAATGCAGCAGTGGGGGGTGTGAACTAGGGCGGGAGATGAGGATCAGGAAGTGGTTCCCGGTTTTGGAGCTACGGGCCACAGCCGCAGCCGCCGCCCCCTAGCAAGAGAGGTCTAATCTCTGGCAGCTTGAACCTTTGTAATTTTACGCCACGCACTTCAAGTTCCTTAAAGGGGCGGACTTCTGTTAGGTCTCTGTACTCTGGAGACGAACCCATGCAGGCCGCC